ACTACTACTACTACTACTACTACTACTACTAATACTACTACTACTACTACTACTACTACTACTACTACTACTACTACTACTACTACTACCACTACTGATAATACTACTACTATTACTACGACCACTAAGACCACTACGACCACTTCTGCTTCTGATGCTGCTGTTGCGATTGGAGTCACTCGACGACGACGCCGCGCCGAAGGCTTCCAGAGATTTTATGAGATTCCGTTTTGGAGGAAGAGGGAAGGAGGAGAAGCAGCAACAGCAACAGGATTCTCTGTTGCACACGGCCTGCTACGGAGCAAGCGCAGGGCCGTGCATCCCGCACCCCCAAAGCAGCAACAAATGCGTTCCCGCAATGTCTTCCGAATCTTCATCCCTATCCCGCCATGCCTCCCACTCCTCCCCCTCCACCTCGAAAACGGGTGATTGTGGCGGACCTCGCCTTTTCGAGTGGTGTTTTCGCATGGCTACTTAGGGGTAACGTATCATTACTCCTCTGTCTTCTCCTCATATTTCTTCTCCTCTTATTTCTTCTCCTTTTCCTCCTCATCCTTTTCCTTCTCCTCCTCCTCATCTTCCTCTTCCTAGCCCTCCTCCTCCTTCTCCTCCTCCTTCTCCTCCCCACCTCCCAGATTGTTTTATCTTCTCCTCATCCCCAGTAAAAAATAATAAACAACAAAACGCGAAGCCGATTTTGCTTTTTGCTGGGGGAGGGGGGCGACGGCGAAAAGAACAAATCCGACGTGGCCTCATCTGCCCTCACCTCTGGAAGGATTCCGATTGAAAGCCCCTACAAAAAGGGTTCATAGCGAAATCCTCCACCTGAGGATTCCTATCGAAACCCTCCGCAGAAGGATTGCGATTGAAATCCTCCACTGATCGGTTCCTATTGGGACCACCTGCCGCAGGATTGCTATTGAGATGCTTCGAAAGAAAGAATCCCCCCATTGGCAGTGCATAGGCATTGGTTCGGCAATGGATTGGCATTGTGCTAGAATTGTGTTTTGCAGTGCGTGGGCATTGCGCTGGCACTTCGCAAGCATTGCGTTGGCGAATCCTGATGGAACCCGCCACAGAAGGACTCACATTGAAACCCCCCACCAGAAGGACTCCGATTGAAGCCCTCCACAAAAGGGGTTCATATTGAAATCCTCCACAAAAGCATTCCATGCGAAGCCCTCCACTGAAGGATTCCGATCGAAATCTACCACAAAGAATTTCCCAAATTGGCATTGCGTTGGCATTGGATTGGGATCGCCTTGGCATTGCGCTGGCATTGCGTTGGCACTGCTTTGGCATTGCTGTGGCATTGCGCTGGCGAGTCCTAAATACTCCCTTCGCGGAAGGATTTCGATTGAAACCCTCCACAAAAAGGATTCCTATTGAAATCTAACACAAAGGATTGCCCCCATTGGCATTGCATTGGCATTGGATTGGGACCGCCATGGCATTGGTTTTGCATTGCGTTGGCACTGCGTTGGCAGTGCGCTGGCGAGTCGTAATCGGACGCTCCAAAGGAAAACTCTGACTAATCCACCACAAGAAGAAGGAGGCCTAGTGACCCCCCACACACACACACAAGAAGGAATCAAATTAAAATCATCCACAGAAGGATTGCATTCGAAGCCCTTCACAAAAGGATTCCTATTGAAATCCTCCGAACATGGGTTCGCAATGGCATCATCCCAGAAGGATTCCCATTGAAATGCACCTAGAGAGGACGCCCCCAACTGGCATTGGTTTAACTTTGTGCTGGCATTGCGTTGGAAGCGCGCTGGCATTGCGCTGGCGAGTCCGAACGCCCTCCTTCGCAGAAGGATTCCTGTTGCAACCCCTCATTGAAATTAGCCAGAAAGGATTGCCCCCAACGACATTGCATTGGCATCGGATTCGGGTCACCTTGGTATTGATTTGGTATTGCGTTGGCACTGTTTGGGCATTGCGCTGGCATTGCGATGGCGAGTCCGAATGCCTCCACAAAAAAGATTCCTATTGGAATCCTCCACAAAGAGGATTCCCATTGAAATCTACCACAAAGGATTGCCCCAATTGGCAATGGATTGGGGTCGCCGTAGCATTGGCATCGGACGTGGGATCGCATTGGCATTGCGCTGGCATTGCGTTGGCACTGCTTTGGCATTGCGCTGGCATTGCGCTGGCGAGTTCCAATGCCACCCGTCGCAGAAGGATTCCTATTGCAACCCCCAGGAGGATTCGTATTGAAATCTACCACAAAAGATTACCCCCCAGCCCGCATCCGCCGACGGCATCACGAGCCTCAGACGAAGTTGCATTATCCAGCATTCCTTTCCGCGATTCCATCATCTGATCCTCCTCCCCATCCTCCTCCGCCTCCTCCTCCTCCTCCGATCCTCCTTCTCCTCCTTCCTTATGCACACGGGGCCTCAAGTGGAGGGGAGAGGATCGAGGATAGCGAAAGAGAAAGAGAGAGAGAGGCAGGGAGAAAGAGAGAGAGGGAAATATGAGAGCATAGCGAAAAAAAACGAAAGAGGAGAGAGAGAGAGAGAGGGAGAGAGAGAGAGAGAGGCGAAGAGAGCGGGATAGATGATAAGAGAGGGAACGAAACATAAGAAAGAAACAGGAAGACAACGCAGGGCTGGAATTTCGAAGACCATGCTCGGGGGGCGATGATTGCTTGAAGGCTGTCGAAACCAGAAGGATAGAGAAAGACAGACGGAGAGAGAGAGAGAGAGAGAGACGAAGGGAGTGGAGTAGATGACGAGAGAACGATCGAAAGAAAGGAAGAAAAGGGAAGGATAACGCAGCAAAGAAAAAACATCAAATTAGCCTGGCGAAGAACCCAACCATATGCAGTTGTCAGTACCGCAGCTGCGGGTTTCATCTTCAGTGGAACTCCCCACAGGACCACGGAACGTGTGAGGGGTGTGCCGAGATGGGTGCCACCGGGGCATTCGGTGAAGCTCCCTATGGGGACATGGAACACGCGCGGGGCGTGCCGACATGGGTGGCGGAAACGCATGTGAGGGCTGCCACTGGGGCCTCCAGTGGAGCTCCCTATGGGTCCCCGAAACATGATGCTGCTGCGGGGGGGGTGCCGGGATGGGTGGCCGAGACGCATGTAAGCGCCGCTAATGGCTCCCTATGGAGCCACGAAGCGCGTGAGGGGTGTACTGGGATGTGTGGCGGGGACGGCCTTCGGTGCAGCTCCCTATGGGGCCACGAAGCGTGTGAGGGGTCTGCCGAATTGGGTGCGGGTGGTGACGCGTTCGGGCGGTGCCACTGGGGCCTTCGGTGCAGCTCCCTATGGGGCCACGGAACGCGTGAGGGGCGTGCCGAAATGGGTGTGGCTGACGCATGCGGGCGCGGGCACTGGGGCCTTCGGCGGAGCTCCCTGTGGGGCCACGAAACGTGTGAGGGGTGTGCCGAAATGGGTGTGGCTGACGCATGCGGGCGCGGGCACTGGGGCCTTCGGTGGAGCTCCCTATGGAGCCACGAAACGTGTGAGGGGTGGGCCGAAATGGGCGTGGCTGACGCATGCGGGCGCGGGCACTGGGGCCTTCGGTGGAGCTCCCTATGGAGCCACGGAACGCGTGAGGGGTGTGCCGAAATGGGTGTGGGTGACGCATGCGGGCGCGGGCACTGGGGCCTTCGGTGGAGCTCCCTATGGAGCCACGAAACGTGTGAGGGGTGTGCCGAAATGGGTGTGGGTGACGCATGCGGGCGGCAGCACTGGGGCCTTCGGCGGAGCTTCTACTATGGGGCCACGAAACGTGTGAGGGGTGTGCCGAAATGGGTGTGGGTGACGCATGCAGGCGGCAGCACTGGGGCCTTCGGCGGAGCTCCTACGGGGCCACGACACGTGTGAGGGGTGTGCCGAATTCGATGTGGGTGACGCATGCGGGCGGCAGCACTGGGGCCTTCGGTGGAGTTCCCTATGGAGCCACGAAACGTGTGAGGGGTGTGCCGAAATGCGTGTGGGTGACGCATGCGGGCGCGGGCACTGGGGCCTTCGGTGGAGCTCCCTATGGAGCCACGAAACGTGTGAGGGGTGTGCCGAATGGGTGTGGGTGACGCATGCGGGCGCGGGCACTGGGGCCTTCGGTGGAGCTCCCTATGGAGCCACGAAACGTGTGAGGGTGTGCCGAAATGGGTGTGGGTGACGCATGCGGGCGCGGGCACTGGG